ATTATTTATAATTAGTTTAGGCTTAACGTGTTTGATAAGCGAGCGACGCACTACACTGTACAGCTAAAAATAGCTTACCCTATAGTAATTTATACCTTAAATAAAATAGCTAAAAATATAGAAAAAGCATTTTTAGTAATAGTATAGTAATAGCTATAATATATATTTTTACTAGACTTTTATAAAAATTCTTTTATAAAGAAAAGCTTAATTATACAGTGTAATTTACAGTGTAAATAGATTTTAAAGTTTATAGCTATATAGGATTTTCTTAAATTTTTTAAAAAGATAAAATACCTTATTTTAAGACTTATCTATATGTTATTATAATTATTGCTATTTTAGACTTAGTTTGGATTTTTAAAGAGTTTTTTAAAAATGGGATTTAAGGTGTATAGGGTAGTGCGTCGCTCGCTTGACTGCGTCACTCGCTTGACTGCGTCACTCGCTTATCAAACACGTTATATAAAATATAATTATAAAATATAATATCTAATTAGGTAATATTTAGAACTTTAATAAGACTGGCTTTATAATAGGTATTATTATAGCTAGAATAGCTATTATAGGCTTAAAAAGGCAAGGAAGATTAAAATTAGTATAGCCTAGAAACCGGGAATAGATTACAGTTATTTAGGCAATTAATACAGAAGGTTAATTAATCGCGCTATTTATTATTAATATAGGCCAATATTACCTTGCTAATTAGTACTAAGAATGCAACCTTTTAGATAATTAGGTTATTATAATAAGCTAAAATAGCTAGATAGATAATAAGCTAAGTTTTAAGTAGCTAAATTATTTTAATTAGTTTATAATTAACTAATTAACTAGTCCTTATTATCTTCTAATCCTTAATAGTTATAAAAGCTACTACTCTACTAATTTTAAGAGATACTATAAGGATAATAAGATTATTATACTCTATATATCAGCTTATCTATCTTACCTACTCTAGCTACTTAATATTAGGTGCTTTAGAGTACTTAAAAAGGTATATAGCTAAGAAATAGAGTATCTAATTAGATGCTTTATAACTTATATTTCTAAGACTAAGTTCTTTCCTGCCTTTTATGCTACTTTTTAAGCTATTATAATAGAAAGGAATATCCAGGGAGGTTTTAGAGCTGTTAGATTTTCTCCTTTTAATCTAGAAAATCTAATCTTAAAGCTTAATATGCAGCTAAAGACCCCAATGCCTCTAGAAGAGGATATTAAACCTTTAACCCTATAGATTTTAAAGATACCAAAGATAATAATAAAGGCCTAATCTTAGTTAAAATACCTTAATAAATAAATCAAGTAGTATTATAATAGCTCCCTAAAGTTAATTATTTAAGTTATAAAATATTTTAAGAAAGAAATAAGTATAATAGTTAGGTTTCCCAAGGGATAAACTAGTCCGTACTAGGTTTATGTTAGTAGATTTATAGGGCAAAGGCTAAGCAATAGTTTGAAGATGAAGAGCAACAACAAAGAAAAGACTGCACAAGACGATATCTTCCAATACTCTCAACTGCAAGCTAAGTGTAGACTGCCAGTTAGGTTCAATTGAGACAGGGTCTTCGTCATAAGATAGAGAATTAAACGATCAGTTCAATGATATCTGATACGAAGGAAAAGAGTAAAAGTTATATATGAAAAGAAAAGCATGAAAAGCTAAAGTCCTCGGGGGAATCCGTCCCTTTATGTCTGTTACCACAGACATCCATCTGACCCCACTAACGAAGCTTAGACCTCTTACCCTGGAATGCTTGCTGCAACCGTCACAATAGTTAAGTGTTACGTCACCTGATAATTAAGTAATATATATTAGGCTTATTAATATAAGGAAGTCTTATTAATAGCTAGTAAGTTAATATCTATAAAAGTACTAATAAATATATCCTATATATTTAAGTGGTTCTAGGGATTACTAAAAGAGAAAGAGTAATCTATGGTTAGGATTACTCTGGATTATATATAAGCCTTAAGTAATTTAGCAGGGATTATGGTGATCTAAGTGATCTATCTGGAGGGATCACTGTAGTAGCAGGGTGATCCTTCCGTGATTGGGTGGAATTTGTAGGGTGTATGTGACGTGGCTGCGAGGGTTGTAATAATAAATATAATTATACATAAGAATGCCTTTGTAATGGTTGCACAAGCCGTTAAACCACAGGGCAAAAGATCGGGCCATAATCGCTATGCAAGCAATTATAGGTGTGCTACAGCTGCCTTATAGAAGCCTTACAGCGCTGTTACGGTAACCAATCATAAGAGCCTTATTAAGGGCTAAGAACTAAGATCTTTAATAAGTAAATAAGATACTTAGCTAGTATTAAAGTATAAAAAGGATTAAATTATAAAAAGAAGGGGTAATAATAGTAAAGGAAGTATAATAAGTAATTAATTAGGTAGATATTAATATATAGGTAGTAGTAAAATTATTAAAAAGTAATAGCTAAGGAAGGTTAATATAATTAGGTATTTAATATTATAGTATATATAATAATGCTAGGCATAATACAAGGACTTACTAAGTAGTTATTAAGACCTTTAGGGAAGAGTATAATAAGTAGTTTTAATTAATTAGATAGTTTATAGTGGTTCTAAATTAAATCCTAGCTTGAAGGCTAAGAAAAGTGCGGCGCTCGCTTATTAAGCATGTTATCTACTAACAAGAGCCCAAAGAAGCGGCCTATGCTTGTCTCTAAGCGGATGGGCTGCAGATACTTACCATTATGCCAAAAGCTGCAAGGCGGCCATGAGCACCATGCAGAGCCTAGCCACTCCCAGGGATGAGCATCTAGGAAGTGGAGCAATGTTGAGCAAATAGCGAGGGTTTTTTCATATGGCACCACTCTGTCATCCCCTGTCAATATTGGAAAATCCGAGGAACCCCTTTCCCTTCAGGATTCTGACTAACATTCTGAAAGTTCTAGAATTTGCCCAGTTTATGTTCTTTTTCCCCGAAAAAATGAAGGACAAATAGTTAAGACAAGGCTTCCAAGCACACCTCAGGTATCACCGCCTTAATATTCAATTTAATAGGAATAAGCCAAGATTAGATAATATTTATAGAATCCTGGAGTTAAGGTAGAAACCCGAAGAAGATGGATCCTTTTCCGAAAAGATTAAAAGGATAGCAAGTTGTTTTATAGCTTCCCTGTTCTATTTTGAATAAGACTTTCCCCAACCTTGAGTTGATAAAAATATTTAAGAACGAACCATATCTTGTGTTCAATACGGCACAAGGATCCAGCTTTTTCACTCCACTGTGATCATCTATCTAGAACTTCAGCTCATTTCTGGATCAATGGCTGGCCAGAAGTTAAGGTTGTCGATAACGATAGCTTTGAAAATGACAGAAACTTCCGAAAACAGGTGGAATTGAATACGGATAGTAAATTCGCTATAAGCCTAAAGCAAATCGCATCGGAACCGTGCAATACAGCAGGTTGCCCTCCTCAGTAGGCAGACTCGTACAGGCTTCAAAGCAGCGTTTGGTCAATCGGATCACAGAAAAATAAAGAGCGCCGGGCGTCCAGACAATCCAAAGAGAAAACAGCGAAGGACTGTCTGACGCTGGGAGGACCAGGAAATAGATTGCGAACCATTCTGTTTAAGAAAACGTTTACCTCGAGAGAAAACGATAACTAGTGATAGTATCTTCTACCAAATTGCAATTACAGTCTTCGTACCCAATGAACCTTGCACTGGTGGAGCAGACCTGTCATAATCACTTCATCAAAAGTAGAGGATTATAAACCGGAACAGCGATTACAGCCAGAACATTCAGTGAGGGACGTACTCCTAGTTAAAGTGACAGGAAATAAACAATTCCAATCATCTAGCATGTTACGAAGAATATCTGGGTCCGCGAGTATGGGGAAAGCTCGCTTGTGTTCCGCATCAACAACCCCCAATAGATCGCTAGCTCGGGTGCCATCGTCCAGTCGGGTCAATCTTTGAGCCTCATTGGGAACTTGAACCCTGCCGTCGGAACAAGGTGGAAGGGAGCTTTGCACCTCGGCCAAGGACCATCCATCTACTCCAGCGTATTGCCTCTTCGCTCTCCTCAACCTTCACCTTAAACGTCGTTTTGTTATTTTCGGAAATACGCTGTAATGAAGGATTCTTGCGTGGCTATTCATCACGCGCGGCCAGAAAGCAGTTCTGCCTCACAGCTGCTTGGACGCTTGTCCGATCCATTCGTAGCGTTCTCCTCATTTCCATGGTATGGAGTCATACAATAATAGCACAGACAACGCCGTTATCTTCTCTTGAGCCCATACTTAACTGCCGAGTCACACCAACGCGATGTTGGAAATCCTTCTCGCCTTACCAACTCCCCCATGATCAGGATTTGATTCCTCTCGGTGGCAATGGCAGGGCAAGGTTCCTAGAGACGCCGGATCAGCTAAGACTTCATTTCCGTCGGCTTGTTGCCTTGATTTCCAGACGCGAATTCTGATCCCCGATTAGCTAGGGGTGCCTAGTATCCAACTCTGGGCGATCCTTCCTTGACTCCTGGGTCCAATCTCGCGATTTAGGGTCGGCCGAGAGCCACATTTCCTCTATCCACGTTTACGGAGAGTAGAGCCCATTTGCCGTCCCAGTTAGGCCTCAGGTCTCGGAAACCATCCGTCCCTGTTAACAGTGTCTTTAATAAGCCTCAGATGTGAGCTCTAACCCATCGAACTTGTTCATCCCGGGGGGTTGCATTCAGTCCTTAGGGAGAAACCACAGAGACAGTTTGAAGACCCCGTGGCAGGCTGTCCCTAGTCAGCGTCAACCAAGGGTAGAAAAGCAGCATACAATCTTGTAGGTGAAACGGGTGGATGAAGGATTCGACCAGTTCCGATGTGCGCCGACGCCTGCTCCATTTGGAGCAGATCTACGGAAGGCCAAGTGAACGAAAGCGAGATACAGTTAATGTTGCTTATATTGCGCATTAGTGCTGAGTGAAAATATTGCTTGAATTTGGTTGTTAATTATTGAGATGAGAGTTCTTCTCGGGTTTATATATCTAGAAGATTTCATCTAGAACTTTGAACTGTAAATTTAGGACTTTAAGACTAACAGTCTGAATCCTGAAGGGAAGAGGGATTCCCGGATCTTCCAACAGTTAATAAAAGCCTATCTTCACCTTGCCACTTAATCATCGTCACATGCCAACCTAGACCTATGCATAGGCGGTTGCCGACCCTACCCCAATTACCCCAAGCTACCGTATAAGCAAGCCCGGTAAAAAAACTTTCAACGCCACCATGACGTGATCTATTTGTTTATCTACTATTAGGCTGGGAGCGTATAATGAGCGGAATGCAACATGATCGATCCATTGCATCGATACCGGTGCGATAGCGATCAGTGGAAAAATGTTGGGGCGGGATGTGACCAGCGGCGAGGAAATGGTTGGGGATGGTTGGGAAAAGTGTTGAGTCGACTGTATACATCATCCACGAGCAATCACCAGCATCAGCACCAGCGGCAGAACTATGTACCTTGTCTTGGAGATGTTGCATTCGCGGTGAATAATCTTGACTTCGGCATCTGGTCAGGACTGACTACTTACTCGCCCGACATGATGATAATCAGAAACGACACTGATCTTAAAGGCCTAGAGAAAGAGTTCTGGTCAGGAATCCCGCTTTCTTGCAAGTTCTTGCACACAGGCGCCGCACTAGCCACCTAGATACCGGACTGTCAGGTTTATCGCCCGCCCTCGAACATGCGACCTCTACTTATATATAATGCGGACGATTTGCGGACGATTCGGTTTCTAAGCTGTGTGTTACGGTTTTAACCCTTTCGTCACAGCAGCGGGAGCTTTTCCCACCCAGACCTGCCGGCTCAGCCCAGCGTGGGGCCATTAAAGTTTGGAGATGCGACTTTGTTGGGTGTTTGAGCGAAACGTGTTCCATCGGCCTTGACAGCAAGATAGGCTTCTGAAGAGAGCAATTGGGAAGAAAAATATAGGAATATCATAGGGACACACGTCACTTACTCAAACACTCACTCGCTCGCTTGCTCACATACATGTAAATCCGTGGGCGATCGATCTCGCATCGTCTTACTCTCAAGTCCCCTTCCTGCCCCTGTCTTTCGTCTTTCCTTTCTATCATCTTCATTCTTGAACAGCACTACGAATACGGGTGGCCCTTTTCGACTACTCCCCGTTCTGGTTGTACCGTAAATCCAACGCCTAGGGGAAAATTTACATCCTGTAATCCATCCACTCCTCTGGGTTCAGTCTGACGTGAAGCCTTTGGCACCACCCCAGCCAACCGACGACCCGCCAATCTATCCTTTTCCTCCCTCTAGTCCGCCTTACCTATCTATATCCTGACTTCCTCCTCCCATTTCACTTTCGTAATACCACTCTCATCGAGGATTTTCGCATTGCGAGAAGAGCCCTGCTAATTCATCGTTGTGGACGACTCTCTCAAGCAGTCTCACTACTTGTCTGACTACCGATCAAGATGTCATCGTCGCCCTGGGCCAGCAAGGAGGCCGCGGCCTTCCCAGACGGAACCACCGACTACGAGCCGCTCCGAAGTAACACCAAGGATGATCCCGGGAGGGTTCACATTGCCGACACTCCAATGACTTGGCCCAACATTCATCTCCACATTAACTGGCTCAACACAATTCTCATCGTCATTATTCCCATCATTGGATTTATCTCTGCCTACTGGATTCCTCTCCACCTCTATACCGGCATCTGGGCCGTCATTCTCTATTTCAACACCGGTCTTGGAATCACTGCTGGTGAGTTTGTTGTGCAAATGTCCTCTAATCAAGTGTACACTCCTTCCAATGATTGTTGATACTGACAATATTGCCTTTTTCAGGATACCATCGTCTTTGGGCTCACACTTCCTACAAGGCCACTACTCCCCTCAAGATCTACCTAGCTGCCGTCGGTGCTGGTGCTGTTCAGGGTTCTATCCGCTGGTGGTCTCACGGCCACCGTTCTCACCACCGATATACCGACACCGAGAAGGACCCCTACTCCGTCCGCAAAGGTCTCCTCTACTCCCACATCGGATGGATGATCTTCAAGCGGAACCCCAAGCGCCAGGGCCGAACCGACATCACCGACCTTAACGAGGATCCCATCGTTGTCTGGCAGCACCGCAACTACTTCAAGTGCGTCATCTTAATGGCCCTTGTCATGCCTACCACCGTCGCTGGTTTCGGTTGGGGTGATTGGCTCGGCGGTTTCGTCTATGCTGGCGTCCTCCGAACCTTTTTCCTCCAGCAAGCCACTTTCTGCGTCAACTCCCTCGCCCACTGGCTCGGTGAGCAGCCCTTCGACGACCGAAACTCTCCCCGTGACCACGTTATTACCGCTTTCGTCACCCTGGGTGAGGGCTACCACAACTTCCACCACGAGTATCCCTCGGATTACCGAAATGCCATCAAGTGGTATCAATATGACCCCACGAAGTGGTCCATCTGGATCTGGAAGCAGTTTGGCCTTGCCTATAACCTGAAGCAGTTTCGCCAGAACGAGATCGAGAAGGGTCGTGTCCAGCAGTTGCAAAAGAAGCTCGACCAGAAACGTGCTACCCTTGATTGGGGTATTCCCTTGGAGCAGCTCCCAGTTATCCACTGGGACGACTTCATTGCAGATTCCAAGAACGGAAAGGCCCTCGTTGCCATTGCTGGAGTCATCCATAACGTCACCGACTTCATCAAGGACCACCCCGGCGGTAAGGCCCTCATTTCTTCTGCTATTGGTAAAGATGCCACCGCCATCTTCAACGGCGGTGTCTACAACCATTCCAACGCCGCCCATAACCTCCTGTCAACCATGCGTGTGGGTATCCTCCGCGGTGGCTGCGAGGTTGAGATCTGGAAGCGTGCCCGATTCGAGAACGAGGACGTTTCCTATATGAACAATTCGGCCGGCCAACACCTCGTCCGAGCCGGTGCATAAGCCACCAAAGTCACCTATCTCATGGCCAGTGCCGCGCAGGTGTCCGATGGTTTCCAAGCTTTGATCTCTCCCAGAAAGCGCGCTGGACCTGCCCCGGCTGACCAGTGCACTGTCGGTGGCTCTGGTTCCTGACTTGGCGAGACTGGTGCCGAGACCGGAGGGTTAGTGATGCCAATCAGCTTTTTTAGTATGTCTGAGGTATCGACGGCCATGTTTTATTGTGACTCCTGTTGTAGTCGGCTCACTTGCACTATTACTTGATCTGAGGTGTGTCTTTCGAGGAGTCCGTTCAACATCTGGGCGTTGCCACTCGAGTGAGGGGTCAGCGTCTCATTGATGGCGGTGCATCTTCATTCTTGGAGTCGTTGGCTTTCCTTTTACCGCTGGGAAACTTGCTGTATATATTCTGTGCCATTGTAGTGAAGTTGCCGTCGATGGCGGCTACCGGACTGTCCAAGCAGGCCAGAAGTTCTAGGCCGAGACTGGCAATGAATGCAGGCGGAGAGATGCTGGATGCTTCTCATGGTAGTTCTGGTTATAGCGTAGTTATCCCACATACTCCATGGGAAATCTCACTAACTGGAGAGAAATTCTGTATTTTGTAGTGTATTCGCGTGATGTAGAACGTTATTAGATCATCCTGCTCGCCCGGCGCTAAATGCTCTGATGGTAGACCTTGCGAATCCTTGTAGCCAAATTGTTTATGGGCCCTGGTCCTTATCATGCAAAGTCTACCTACGTTATATGCGTGATTGGGGGCGAGTGAACATTTAAAGTTACCATACAGGCACATAAAGCATTCGAGCTAGGGTATGAATCATAATAGCGGTGTCATTGTTCTCCTCTCCCTTGCATGCTACCATCCTTTTGCTTTATCTCTTTTCTTTTAGGGCGAATTCTTCAGACACTCGTCGATTTCCTTCTTGAACTTCTCACGAATGACTTTCCGGTTCAGTTTATGCGTGGCAGTGACAAGTCCCTGGAAATAGGTCAATGGCTGCACCTATACAGGTCTAGGTGTTTGAGACTTACGCTTAGTGGGGTCCACTCCTCATCGGTGATAACTATGTCGGACACAATTTCCATGCCGGCTAGGCCAGAGCGCTTGCCGGCGGTCTGGAGATCCTTGAGGATGAGGCTGTGGACCTTAGGGGCGTAGTGCATGCTATGCTCATCTACGCCTAGGCCCTTAATCTTCTCTACCAGAACTGTCTGGTTGGGTACGATGACGGCGATGGGGCGTGAGTGTTCAGAGTCGGCGTGTACCATAATGTTGGTTATGGTTTGGGTGCCTCGGTAGACAGACTCGAGCTTCTCCAGGGCGATATACTCACCGCCCTGCGTCTTGACGAGATTCTTGACTCGGTCGATGACTCGCAGATGGCCGTTCTCATCGAACTCGCCGATATCACCTGACTTAAACCAACCATCGTGGGTAAGGGCCTTCTCTGTCTCCTCGGGGTCGTCGTAGTACTCTTTTATGATCGGAACACCCTTGAGCCAAATCTCACCCTGAGGGACCTCTGCGTCCGTCGAGTATCCAATATCAGGAATGGAGACCAATTTCACATCAATAGCAGCAGGGACGGGGCCAATTGAATTGGGTGAGTACTCAAGTGGGCAACCCAAGGCGCCGTTGGCGCAAGTTTCAGTGAGACCATAGCCAGCCAACATAGGGGCGAGGACCATGGACAGGAAGTGCCTGGTGTCATCGGAGATGCCACTAGCACCGTTCATGGTGAATCGAAGTCGGCCACCAGTAAGTTCCCGAACCATACTGAAGACGATGCCGTCAAATATGCCAGCTCCTGGGAGGTTATTTTTAGACATGAAGGTCTTATAGTTGAAGGAGCACCAGAAAAACGCCTTGATGACAGGATTAGAGGCGTCGAGCTTCGCTATGATTCCCTTCTTGATGGTTTCCCAGATCTGAGGAACGCCGACCATGACAGTGGGCTTGAGCTCCCGCATATCACCAGCGCAGTTCTTCACTGAGGAGTCGGCGAGCGTTCTGGGGCTACCGTATCCGAGGGTTCCGCCAATGAACAACACGAGGTTCTCGAGTGCCATCTCGAAGACGTGGGCTAAAGGCAAGTAGGCAAGCACATCCTCCTTGTCGCTAACGCATTCCTCAACACAGGTATAGAGACCGGTAACTGCACCCGATGGAGTTAGTCAAGTCTGCATATGGGGCAAGTAGTGTGTGAGGATAGGATTGAGAATATACCTCCAGCAACGAGCGCCTCGTGCGTGATACAGACCCCCTTGGGAGGACCGGTAGAGCCGGATGTGTACATGATACAGCAAAGGTCGGGGCCTTTCGCCGGCACCGGATCGAGCGGGTTGTCCTCGCCCATCTTTCGCAGCTCCTCGAAAGTCAGAACGTTGAACTCTCGGTGGGCATGCTTGAACTTTTCGATCTCGTCCCCTGTCGCGAATATGCAGCGCTCATTGACAACGATGGTCTTGACATTGGACTTCTTTAGGGGGCGGGCAGCAGTCTGGAGGAGGTGAGGGTCGACGTACATAGCGTCGGCCTTGGTCTGGAGGAGGGAGTGTTCAAGGCCGCTCTCACCGAGAGTATCGTAGGCGGTGACTATAGTGATAGACTGGGAGGCGCAGCCGTGGGACATGGAGATCCAGCTTAGGCTAAGGAGGTTGTGAGCGCAATCCGGCGTAAGTTAACCAGAGTAGAAACATGCCTTGTGGCACCGAAGAGGTGAAGCTTGTGCTTCGGCGTTAGGCCCAGTTTGCGCAAGCCATAGCCGACCTGAAGCACAAGCTGCTCGTACTCCTTGAATGTCAAGTAAGAGAATTTGGAGAGCTCGAATAACTGCCACTCCTTCTCGAGCTCCTTGATCTCGCCGTCGACATTCTTCTGTACTTTCCTTCTCTCCTTGTGTAACTTGACAAGTTTCCGGGAGCCGACTGCGCGGTGGTTAGGGTAGACGCGCGCGCTGCGGCGGACGATATCGAATACGGTGTGTATGTCGTTGGCGGGACGGTTGATGAGGCCATCCTTGGCTCGGGGATGGCGACGCGGGACGGTCTCGCCGGGGACCTTCTCGTATCCGGGAGCTTCGATGGTAAACGGCGGCTTATGTACCAGGTTCAAAGGTACGGGGCCCGAGGTGTAATCCATGGTGGCGACCTCGGGAGTACCGTCGGGGTCAAAGAAGCTTAGTCTATTCTGTAGAACTTTTTCTATGGAAAAGACACGAGTTTGATTGTGTATACGGAGTTAGAGGGAAATAATGCGGAGGTGTATCGGCGCAGCGGCAATATGAGGAAAGACTTTCAATGTAGCAACTGGTGGACGGAGACCAGCGCAGCCTATATAGTGGAGTCGGTAACCGCTGACGATATTATGACAATTCCAAGAGGAGATAGAATTCTATCTCTTTGAGCGGCATAAGACTGCAGCGGGGTACCGACAGAGATGTAGAGCCAATCAAAATGAACGCATCAGAAGGTACTTCCTACACACCTAAATATGCGTGTGCTAGATGTACCAGCAGGTCTCATTGTTACAAATTGCTACATTGTACACTTTGCAGCAGTATCGGGTCTGCGAGGCTCGCGCATTTCCCGATATCGGCTGTAAATAGCTTCCTTTTGCCTTTCTTTTTTAAAAAGGTCGGGACTGCCCCTGCCTGAAGCCCTTGCAAGCTAAGCAAGCTGAATTTATATCCCTGAAGACGTGGTTGATATATCTTTGCAGGTGTTTTTGTCGTGCTTCGTTATCTTCGATGTCTTCTTCCATTCCTGTACGGTTCCTCTTCCTTGCCTGACTTTGCCCGGCGTATTGGCTGAAAATGGCGTTGTAATGCATTCCTTCCAGTCTTTTAGAGTTATATACGGCTTCCAAAGGGGATTTGGTGTTTTCAGCTGCAAAATGAAGCTATTCACAAGTACAATATCGAGGAGGAATCCCCAAAGCAGCGCTCGCCAAGGACCACGGCGGAATCGATGCTCATATGTTGTGTATGCTCTTAACTAATCACCGCGGTCAACGTGATTCATTTCATCGTTATACTTGGCGGCAACGGAAGGGATAGGTATGATTTTGAAGGCATCACCACCAAAGACCTCTTGGAGGCGCCGAGACTCTGATTTTGTGCCTCTTTTGGCGGGCAATTTCCTCTTTTTCAGTGTGCGGTCGCCTTCAGCCCCGCTATGCACAGTTGAAAGGAAAACAACGATGCTGCTATCTTTCCAGCCGATTTGAATGACCTCAAAGAGACAAATTAGTAGGAGAAATGCACATAAAGACCGTACAAAGTCCGTACCTTGTTATCCTTTGTAGGGATGGCGAGGACCTCGTTATACTGAAGCAGGGAGCCTTTGCCGGCTTTATTCCTCTCGTTGGCACGCTTTAACTCAGGCGTGATGCCGCAGTAGGTCGTGCCGTGCCTGTAGCTCCGCAGCCAGCTTCTCGAAGGGCACGGAAGAGATTTGGCGAGGAGAAGAGGTTATCCGTAAAGACGTGATATGTCAGCTTTGGCAGCAAATTGCATAGGTGGATAACGACGCTCTGTGTATTGCTGAGAGCCACTGTGGTCTGTAGCTTTCCCTTCTTGCTATGCGGCTTTGGCGTAGGTAGCTCGACGATAACAGCTTTGTAAGGTGATGCCTTCACATGCCAAAGCCACCGCAACGACCCAGACTTTGAACCCTACTGGCGTAGGTTTATTCTTGACAACCGTTGTCTCTTTGGATCTGCCCTTAAAAGGGACCATACACTCATCTATAGTCAGATTAGTCCCTGGAATAAAGAGCTCAGCAGACGCCGTCTGTATATGATCAGACCACGGTTCAGCCGCTTGGAAGGTCTTTGGAAGATCCCCCTCATCATGCACATCGAGCTTGGTGTAGTCAAAAGTGCGGAAATACCGTGTAATGAGCTCGAACTTCCGCAACGGCATAAACTTCGTTATTGGATGAAGGGGGCGCTGATCTCCAACCCTAGGGGACTTCCAATGGTCCTTAATCGAGATTTCTCTATGAATTCCTAGGTAAATCATGATCCCGATCCATATATATGCTGTTGCGGTGGAGAGGCCGTCCCACTGAAGGATACGCGAGTGCTCGGAAATGGGGCTATTCCAGCTGTCAATAACGGCATTGTTCATGAGACAAGCGACCCAGTCGTTGGTATATTCGATCCATGACTGCACAAGGGAAATAGGTACGAAGACCTGGAATAATTTGAGTGGTTCCTTGGGCAGAGGGTTGATCTGAAAATCACGATATTCTAGGTTGAAAGGTGCAAAATGATTTCCTCTGCCTTCTTCAGGCGGAAAATCAGGCACCCCGGTAGGGTCATTGGGCCCCCCCGTGAGTGCGTATGAAAGCTGTGGTCATCTAGGCTATCTTGTAATTGACCGGGAATTGAAGAAGAGCTTATAGTTCTGTTTGAGACTGATTTTCATTGATTTATATGGTGTTTTGGCAAAAATGCGTCTTGCGGGGAATTTCTTGTACCTTGCTTGTACTGGTGTGATTACCTAAAAGAAGTGGGGTAAGTGACCTTTTGCAGTCTTGTGGCGCTCAAAGAGATAAGCAACAGCCGATAGGCCTTCAGGCTGTCATCAACAAAGCACTGAAGTGGGAAAGACGGAGCGGAGCGACGTTTGAGGAAGACAAGACGGTCATCATACACTTCACGCGCCATCCCGAACGTACCGACGAAAGCCCGTATACGATCAAAGGCCAAACGATCATCTCCAAGAAAAGCGGCAAGATACTGGGTAGGGCTGCCGTCAGATCAGATTAACAATCAGATATATCAATCAGATCAATCAGATCAAATCAGATATAGAATTTTTATCAGATCAATCAACTCAGATACAGGCGTCTATCCATCTGATATATCTGATATTTCTTGCACAGCGAGCGGCTACCCTAGAACTGCCGGATCATCTATTTGTTCCGGCTCCGCAGAGGGAGGCTCTTTCTAAGAAGTCTAAGAAGTAACAGTGTTACAGGGGTCAGTCGAGCTGATTGGCCCTGGACCCTTGCTCGCCTGGGTCTTAGCTAGAGGCAAATCTAAAGGCAGATTACCCCCTTTTTCCTATGTCGCACTGAGCGTGCTTAAAGGGTTAAAGTGAATGTGGTGAGCAGCAGCAAAAATGTGTTGATTGATTGTTCTAAGTTCTCTTGTGCCGGGTATTCCATTCCGCAGAGTTAAGGTATACAGCTAGATTACTAATGCAGTTGTTTCATGAGGCCGTGAAGATCATGCCTACCCTGCGACATCAAATTATTGTTGAGATCTACATAGATTAACACCTTCCTTTGTCATCACACTTTCTTGGCATACAAGTGTTAAGAAAGTGGCACTGTCTACACCAAAATCCTTAACAACTGCACAACAAACGTTTCAATCTGCGCTTTGCGCAGTCGCAAGCCGCGGCGATGGCTTCGTCTACAGCGAGCCCGCCTGCCGCCACAGACCCCTTTGATATGGGGATCCACACTCCCGCTAATCTGAACCGAGGAGCCCGTGCAGCTCTTTTGCAGAACAGCCCTGCGACCGTGAATGGCACCATTGGTGTTTCACCCACTCCCGGGCGGATGGCTCAGACACCATCCTCACCACTTGTCGCCGCCACCGCGGCTGCAGCCACGGAAGGAGCTGCGCGCGCTAACTCATCGTCGATCTTTGAACAACAACCAATCTCTATTATCGAGTCAGCCAATGATCTCGCGCGAGAACACGCGGAAGAATACAACGCCAAGCTGATGGTTTTCCAGACCTTCTGCGCCAAGTTTGAAGAAGCGGCCCAGCAATTCGCTACCGGACCGCAACGGCGTTTCGCTAAGCAATGCGCTGACAGCTTTCTTGGCATTTGGAAACAAGAGCTCTCCAGCTCCGGACCTACGACACCTAAGCCTACATACAGCAGCATCGCCGCCACCTCGCTTCCCGCTGCCCATGTCCGCCCAGCCCGCCATCATCAACAACAACAGCACCGGCAATCTGACCCACCTCATCGCCAAGGGCAACAGACGAACATCGCCCCACCCCGACAGGATCTCCGCGTCTTCATCCGTCTAGAAGCCGAGGCTCCGGCCAGGGCCCACAGTGGCTATGCCATCCGGACCTTGATCCGGGAGAAACTCGGCGCCGTCTCGGACAAGATCCGGCAGGTGTTCCAGGTCCGGTCCGGATGGGCCGTCCTGGCTGCCGACTCAGCAACACGCGACTTTCTGGTAGAAAAGCAGGCTGAGTGGGCCGCTGCACTGAAACCTATAGCAGTAGAAACGAACAAAGAATGGTTCACCTATGTGGTCTCAGACTTCCCCAAAAGACTGACCGACTTCCACGGCAACGAGGTGGATAGCGACAGCATCGTCAGCGACGAGATAGAAATCCAGACGGGGCTCACGCCTGTTGACATTCGCCAAGCGCGACAATTCTCGGACAACCCCTTGACCAAGGGCCTACTTGTGTCCTTTCTGAAGCCCACAAAGAGATTCTGGTCGCTATTTGGCAGCAGTGCGGCCAGACTCGTCGACAAAACCAACCGACTAAGACAGTGCGAGACATGCTGGGGCTATCATTTTGCCCGCAGTTGTTATAGATAGCCAGTCTGCTAACGCTGCGGCAAGACCGGCCACTCTACGGGTGACTGCGCCGCACCAGAGCAGTGTGTCAATTGCCTGGGCCCTCATCAGGCCAACTTTGACAAGTGCCCAGATCGGCCGAAGAAAGTGCGCGGCGTGCTCCGCCGGCTCACTAAAGAGCAGCGAGGCCATGTCCGGACCGTAGGTGCGGAGGCATACCGACAACGACAGCGAGAGCGAGAATCACAACCGGAATCGCACCAAGAAGCCCACAACGACACGTCTGAACAACAAGGCGAGGATGACGTATCACAAGATCAACCGAGCGTTCGTGCTCCAATCCCAGCTGTATCAGGAGCACCTTCGTGCATCATGGTGGCCACAACGCCCCAGATCGGCTACGAAGCAGAAGAGGAGCCTGAGCATCCCAGGCCAGGCTCACCGCGAAAACGCCGAATCGTACTCATCACTCTTCCTCATGACCGGGAATAGGCGACACTCGCAGCAGACACGAAAGAACAACAAGAGGCCGCTCAGGATCTTTCAGGCCAACGTCGGCAAGATCCCCCCGGCCCACGACTGCGCCCTGGCGCTGGCCGACTCGGAACGATACGACATCGTCCTTCTACAGGAGCCGTGGACTGCTCACACAGACACTCGCTCCCTGACTAAAACCCATCCCGCATACGACACCTTCACACCTGTCGAGACATGGGACGGTAACGACACTCAGCCTAAAGTCATGACATATGTCCGACGAGACCCAAGGCTCCTGGCTGATCAGATCCGGCCCTTTCAGACTCGGGATATTCTATGGCTTATAATCAACGGCATGACGATAGTTAACTTCTATCGTCAGAACGACGAGAGTGATGCCCTGAACACACTGATACGATGGCCTGTTCCGGAAC